GGCCCCCAGCCTCACCTCTGCCCCGGGACCAACAACACCCTGGTTTGGAGCTGGGAGGAAGAGGGGGACCTGAGAGAGCCCCAGGTCCATTCTACCCCCAGCTTCACTCAGCATTGGAGCTGGCAGAGACGCAAAACCCAGTCTTCCCTTGGGATTCCGAACCACCCTAGGGCTCCCAACTGACCTCAGGCCTCTGAGTCTCTGAATGTCACCAGGTGAGGTGGGAGAGGTAAAGTGGGCCAGTGGGGAGGGGGTCACCTAGGGGACTGCCTCTGTGCCTCTCCCCAGGAAGGATCCAGGGCAGAGGAAGCCACATCTCCCGGTGCCCCCAACCCCAGCTGCAGCCTCTTCCCCCTGAGCATTCATTCTCTCCACCAGGCCTCCAGGTCCTGAGCCCTTCCTCTGTAAAAGTGTCACACCACCTCCCTCAGCACTTCCTGTCAGAACAACCTATGTCACTGACTCAGATGCAGGGTCTGCTCACCCCAACACATGCCTTCCCTCCCCAGCCGCATCGTGCACGAAGGGGGCACAGGAGAGGAGAGGGGCTGTGCCCCAGGCTCCCCATTTCCCAGCTCCTCACAGGGGCCTGGTTTGCTCAGTCTTCTCAACTCCAGGGACTAGCCCTGGTGGGCATGGGGTGGGGAGCAGGAAGTTGCCCTTCCCCTCCCTCGGGAAGCCACCTAAGAATGTTTACATGCCAAACAGAATGTAACACCCCTCCCCAAGCCCTTCCCAGTCACTGCATGGCCTCTGCCCATCCTGCACCTGTCCACCCCACCCCAACACCCTGGAAGCCACTGTCAATGATTAGATCGGGTCTCGGAAGGGAAGTAGCCATCACACCATTAAAAAGCCTGTGGACCTTTTTCTGTTGGCCTGGACTCTTCTTCCCTGCGGGAGGGCAGGCAAAACCCAGTTCCTGGGGCCGGGGCTGGGCAGGAAAGCGGAGCACAGGTTGGTGGGCAAGTGCAGAGGGACTGTCCTGGAGGCAGGGGAGGAAATGAAAGCTCAGGACAGACACAGGTAACTTGCTCAGGGTCACAGAGGAGGAAGGGGACTGTCCTGCTGTCATTCTGACTGCAAAGCGTACACTCTCACAGCCCTCTGGATGCTTCTCCTGAGGGCCAGAGACTGAGTCTGGCTTTGTGCAGAGAGGCCAGGAGGAAGAATTTTTTAAATTATTTGTACAAATTGATGGAGTACATGAGAAATTTTGTTACATGTATATAATGTGTAGTGACCAAGCCAGGGTGTTTACAGCATCCATTACCCAAGTACAATACATTTTGGTTAAATATAGTCACCTTACTCTGCTTTTGAACAATGAATTTATTCCTTCTATCTAACTGTATGTTTATACCCCTTATTTATTTTTATTTATTTATTTATTTTTTGAGAGGGAGTCTTGCTCTGTTGCCCAGGTAGGGGTTCAGTGGCGTGATCTCAGCTCACTGTAACCTCTGCCTCCCAGGTTCAAGTGATTCTTATGCTTCAGCCTTCCAAGTAGCTGGGATTACAGATGGGCGCCACCATGCCCAGCTAATTTTTGTATTTTTACTGGAGACAGGGTTTCAACATGTTGGCCAGACTGGTCTCGAACTCCTGACCTCATGTGATCGGCCTGCCTCGACCTCCCAAAGTGTTGGGATTACAGGGGTGAGTCACCACACCCTGCCTGTACCCTTTAATTCACTTCTCTTCCTCGCCACTCTCGAGGAAGAATTTTCATTACCCCAAAGTTAACAGACAAAAGTGAGAGTGTTTGGAAAACCACGCAGTGTAGCAGCTCACAGGCAACGTTATTATTATGAAAACATCTATCAAAATCACAGATGAGCATAGCTTGTGTCCCAGCTTCTCTACTTTAGAAATGCATCCTATGGATGTACTTGTACACTTGCAAAATTACATGCGTCCAAAATTATTCACTGCAGTCTTCTTTGTATGGCTCCAGAAAACCTCATCTGCACTTGTGAAACCCAGAAAGTTCTGAAAACTGGGATTTCTCCCATTAGATTGGCACACACTCCCTTGTTATAAAAAAAAAAAAAAACTGACAAGACCATTTATAATGTTTATTTATTCCACTTATCCATATTTGCAATGGAAACATTAACATGTTTGATGATGGGGTAGGTCCCATTAGGGTATTTTATTTTATTATTTTTTATTTTTTTGAGACGGAGTTTTGTTATTGTTGCCCAGGCTGGAGTGCAGTGGTGTGGACTCAGCTCACTACTACCTCCGTCTCCTAGGTTCAAGCTATTCTCCTGCCTCAGCCTCCCCAGTAGCTAGGGTTACAGGTGCCTGCCACCACGCCCAGCTAATTTTTGTATTTTTAGTAGCGACGGGGTTTCACCATTTTGGCCAGGCTGATCTGGAACTCCTGACCTCAGGTGATCTGCCTGCCTCGGCCTCCCAAAGTGCTGGGATTACAGACTTGAGCCACCGTGCCCAGCCCACCATTAGGGTATTTTATAATATATGGAATATGTGCTAAATTGCCTTTCTGAATATATATATATAGTTGATCCTTGAACAACACAGGGGTTAAGGGCACCGAGCCCCTTGCTGTTGAACCTCTGCATATAATTTTTGATTCCCCCAAGACTTCATCAGTAGCCTACTGTTGACCAGAAGCCTTACCAATAATAAACAGTCGATTAACACGTATTTTATATGTTTTATATATATTATATACTGTATTCTTACAATAAGGTGAGCTAAAGAAAAGAAAATGTTATTTAAAAAACCATGAGGAAGAGAAAATATATTATTAAGTGGAAGTGGACCATCATAAAGGTCTTCATCCTCGCTGTCTTCACATTGAGCAGGCTGAGGAGGAGAAGAGGAGGGAATGGTCTTGCTGTCTCGGGGTGGCAGAGGCGGCAGGGGTAGAAGAGATGGAAGGGGAGCAGGAGAGGCAGGCACAAAACTTGTGACTTTTATTGAGAAAAATCAGACCAGTGCAGTTCAAACCCATGTTGTTCAAAGGTCAACCGTACATGTATGTACTTCTGATCCCAACAGTTTGGATAAGAGACTATGGACCTATAAAAGTTCAGAAGAAATCTAAATGCCCAACTGGGACTGCTCAGTAGAGCATGGTCCACCCATAAAATGGGGCCCCCACAACGGGGTGATGTGAGACTCTAAGATGAAGGAGGCTAGCTGAGTGCTGTGGTGTGTCTGTAGTCTAGCCACTTGGGAGGCTGAGGTAGGAGGATTGTTTAAGCCCAGGAGATTGAGTCCAGCCTGGGGAACATAATGAGACCTCTTTCTCTAAAAAAATAAATGAGGAGTTGTCTCTTTGTATAGTATATACTTATGGACCAGTCTCCAAGACCAAGAATAAGAAAAAGAAGCATACATATAATGTACAACTTTATATCTGGAAAGGAGGTGAAATGAGTGAGAGGTGTCTGGCCGCCGTGGGGCAGGAGAGCTGGGCAGAAAGGAAGCTTTGCTCTAGTGTACATACTGTAGGAGTTTGTGAATTTTGAACCCTAGGTTCACTCGGTGTAAATCTTTCACCTCGTCAATATATAAACAACTTTGGTTCCAGGCCAGGCTCCTGGCTTTGCCTGAGATCCAAGGGAAAAAGGCCCACACTCGCAAAGTCCAGCTGTCCCTCCAAGAAGGCCACTCCCTGGCATTAGAGAAACATCATGGCTCCTGGGACACTCTTTCCATTGGCGTGGATGCCAGCGTGCTCTAGGCCCTGATTCATCAGCCTTCAGTGGAATCTCCATATGATTTCACTTTCCTTCTTGTTTAAACTGTCAAAAGCAGGA